GCCCAGCCGCCTCGCAGCAGTCAGGCAACATTTTTCTGCCCCTTCTCCACCACCCACCTCCCCCACCCCCGTACCGCCCCCACCCACAGCCCCAGGGTTCAGGGCTCCCTCTGCTGGCTCCCCGAGCTGAGGGTCAGATGAGGGAGCCTGGGTGGGGGGATGGTCTATGTGGGAACATAGAGACCTTTCTGACTGTGAGACCTTTCTGAGGAGGCTGGGCATCAAAAGGGTCTGGGATCCCCTTGGCCTCAACCATCCACCCAGGAGTGCTTTCTGGGGAAGGGGGCTGGGGTCCTGGCATATGCGCTGGTCCATGGGCAGGGCTGGTGGGCGTGAGGACACACAGATCCAGGCTGAACAGCAAGAACAGAAAGTTGGGGAAGTGAGAGTTCTCAGGAATCCACAAACGCTGCCCGCACTCCTACCACCTGCCCTGCGGCCGTGCGGGCCCAGCGGTGAGTAAGGGTGTGCACAGGAAGGTCAAGGGCACTGCGGAAGCCCACTCTCTGGACAGGCTTCCTTACTGTGTCGCCTGGGAAGTAGGCAGGCGTGATTAGTTGCTTCCATTTCACAGTTGCGGAGACAGGCTCAGAAGGTTAAGTCTCGTCATCCTTCAGCAAACACTGAGGGCCAGCTTCACACGCTAGGGGTTTGCTCATATTGAAGAATGAGCAAATGGCAGCGCCCAGATCCAGACCCACGTCGGCTGGACCCCCAAAGCCCTGAGCGTGCTCCGATGGCTCACGTGGTGCTTCCTTGTGAGATCTTCATCTTTTTAAAAAGACTGTATTTAATTCATTTTTAGAAAGAAGGGAAGAGAAGGAGAAAGAGAGGGAGAGAAACACCAATGTGTGGTTGCCTCTCGTGTCCCCCTGATCCGCAACCCAGGCATGTGCCCTAACTGGGAATCGAACCGGTGACCCCCTGGTTCTAAAGCTGGCACTCAATCCACTGAGCCACCCCAACCAGGGCAGACCTTTGTCTTCAATGAGTTTCCCATCTAACTGGAGAGATAGACAAGAAAACATGACAAAGTAATTATGCCACTGGCACGATAACAAGTAAGCCCCCAATGGGTGACAGGTAGAACGGTGTGGAGGGGGAGACCAGTGAGGCCTGGGGCCCAGAGGAGGGGCCTCAGGGCAAGTGGCAGCTCAGATGAGCTTGGAGAGAAGCTGGGTAAGATTTTGATGAGCTAGGGGTGAGGAGGGGATGGCTCTGAGTCCGGGAATTTAGCGGTGTAATGCGGGGTGGCTGCAGAGTTAGCCACCACTACCAGTTAGCCACCACTGGAAGACGGGGTGCAAGGCCACCTGATGCCTTCTGATACCTCCTGTGGCCACTTTCCCTCCAGCCCTTTGGTTTGTAAAGTATTCACCTAAGTTTCTAGCAACGGCCAGCATCGGTCGCCTCCCTTCTCACACCGTTCATCTGTACAATGCAGGGCAGGTTGATGCAGCAGGACTACCCTATCTCTGGCTTTCTCCGAGGCCCTGCGAATCTGGGAAAGGAAAGGTAGATTAGGCCAGAAGCTGGGGCCTCCTGGGCAAGATCTGCAGAGGTTGCCAGTAGGAACTGGCCAGCCCCTGTTGTCACCAAGCTCCCTGGGAGGAAGATTTGGCGCAGGCCAAGCCAGTTAGAATGGCTAACCCTAGGCTTGTCCCTTCTTGTCTGCATACTGATTTCTCTTAGGGCTAGCCTCATTGTTGCTATGCCCAGGAATGTCTACTTGATTAGGATCTCAGACCTTCCATATTCTATACCACACACTTACTACTACCCCTGTGCTCCAGCCTCAGAACGTGCAGGTGTTCCCGAATGGGCACAGCTCCTACGAGCTGGTCCCTGGACAATGCTGACTCAGAGGCACCAGCAGCAGGGTTCATTCCTTAAGGAAGCAGAAGGGAAAAGAAGGGGGGTAAAGGAAGAAGGAAGATGGGGGAGTTATTTCTTGATGCGGAGTCAAGTGTTGAAGTTAGAGGGGGTGTTCAAGCTGTTCACGCTAGCTCCTCGTGTTTCTGCAGCCCGGAGCGGGAACTCACTTGCCCGGAGTAGCTCAGCGGACGGGGACCGGGGTGCGGAAGTGAGGCTCAGTGTTCTGCCCAGTGAACCCCGGCCACTCATTTTCTGGAGTTCCCTTTCCTGTGACTCGAGGATGGGAGTGAGGAGCAGAGGGCAGGGAGCGAACGGGTCCCTTGGGATTCTGGCCGCTACAACTGCCCATCCCTTCTCCTGACCAGCCTGTAAACAAGTCTAGTTCCCAGGCAGCCAGGAATCCTCCTGAGTCCTCTATCTCTAGCCCCTGGGAAGCAGATAAGGTCAAGAGATTTTTTGCCTTTCTTCCCTGCATACCCCCTCCCTCTCCTGCTTTCCTAGGACCGGAGGAGGGAGTGGAGAGAGATGGGGACTGAGTAACCTTGGGAAGATAAGGCCGGTAGACCTTGGGAAAGTAGGGAGTTAGCAGAGGGCAGGGCTGGGGAGGGGGACTGGGGAACTTAGTAGCATGGGGAGGGTTGAGTGTGCAGGGCCCCAGACTCCTAGGTGGAGTCCTGGACAAGTGGGTGGCGGGAGAGGACCTGGACAGCCTGGGGAGGTCTGCTTCCCTGCATCTGAATCCAGTGGGAGAAGTAAAATGTCCATGGAAACGAATTAGTAGTCTTGAAATGGCATGTGGACAGGAGACGAGCTCCAGGAAGGATCTCCTTCGATGGCTCATTTATTCACTCAGAAACAGGTATTCAATGGTGTTCATTGTAGCATTATAGCAATTATTCATCGTATGCAACATTTTCATAAAAATGGAGGGGAAACATGATTCGGCACCTACAAACCTGCCTAGGAGACAAGCGAACATGACGGTTCTAACTCTTAGATGCTCATAGTCTTACCTGCTGCCCCTGTGTGACCACACGGGGGGCTGTCTCCAGTGCTTTTTGTAACGAGGTGAGGGAAGTGGGTGGGAGGGTAGACAGCTAGAGATCGACTCTTGGAGGTCACTGGGCCACCGGGAGCCAGCCTGGTGGCCCTGCCCTTGGCCGACTGCCCGCTGCTCCATCCATCACTTCTCTAGGGTTGGGAGAGGGCTGGGGCTGGAGCTTCCCAGGCTACAGTTGGAATGCAGTGATGGGCAGGTCCTGAGCATGGAGGAGGGAAGGGCTGGACCAGGGATTTTCAACTTTTTTCACCTCATGGCACACATAAACTAATCACTAAAATTCTGCGGCACAGGATATGTTATGTATTATAAAAATATATACACATATTATATAAAAATGTATTTTGCCTATCTGACCAAACATAGGTACAAAATTTTGATTCATTCACACCGGGCTGCTATTGTTGTGTTGGCTGTTGCCATGTTTGACAATCCAAGGGAAAAGAGGTCAGGGCTCCTGAATGAATAGGCAGGTATCGCATGCTTTAGAAGTTCTTGTGACACACGGGTTGAACATCGCTGGTCTGGGCTGTAAGTCCCTCTGTTGAGGAAGGAACCTTGGCTCCAGACTGCTTGGATAGGGATGAAGACAGTGACCTACAGGGCGTGTGTGAGTGTGGTGTGTGTGGGGGGGACCTCAGAGGACGGGGCTTACACATCTTCCTGTGACCCCTGCTTCAAGCATCTCACTCCTCAATGTTAAGTTCTGTCTCAAGACCTGAATTCTTTTCGCTGCTATCGAAGCCCATTACATCTCATTGTTGTGGAGCCTCTGCCTGTGGAACATGCCTGGGTAGCCTCTGCCTGTGGAACAAATGGGGACAGTGGGGGTGGATGCACGCTAAAGCTAAATTGAAAAGAGGCCACGTTGACCTTCGACACCTAACTACCTTCATTTTCCTCCTCATTTTCTGCCTTCTGGAACCACTTCTCACTGCCTGCCCAGAGTCTTTTTCTGCTGAAGGGTTTTTGAATGGTCTCAGAGGACCCTCAGCTCCCGAGGGCTCAACCCACTCATTCCTACAAGACCCAGTGAAGCATTCAAATGAGAGCAATGTGACGAAAGCCCTTCCGCCCAGGGGTGGATGCCCCGTCCCGTGAACCTGCAGGGGCCGGGTATGTGATACCCAAACGGTAGCCCTCCTGTCAGAATGAAGGCTGGGCGCGGAGGGGTTTGTGAAAACGTGCGGAACTCCCCATGAGGCGCTTCCCCACCCAGTCAGCGTCCCCCTGCCCCAATTGGCTATGTCCCCGCAGGGCACAGGGCTTGGCTCGCTGCCATCCTGCTCTGGACAGGCCACAGCTCCTGCAGCAGCAGAAGGCGGCTCGCTGTCGCCTGCTTCACAGCGCTTCAGGGACTCAGGCTCCGGCTCCTCGCTCCTGCCCTCCAGTTCAGGGACACAGAGGCCGTCGTGGTGGGAGGGCCCGCCTCAGAGACCCAAGCTCGTCCTTCCCATTTTCCAGGAGAAGCTCGGGCGGCAGAGGGAGTGTGACTTTCCTCCGAGGCTTCGTCCCCCAGCCATCCGATGGCTCTCTGCGTCCCTTGGAACAGCCCATGTCTTTCCAGCATCAGAGCTTTTCAGCTGACATGCCCAGCGTGGGGTCCACTAAGACCAGTTCTTTTTTTTTTTTTTATCTCTTTCCAAAGATCCTTTTCTTTAGTATCTATACAGAGTTTCTTTTCTTTGACAGCCTTCTTGATCTTCCTTCTGTTAATTTCTTCCCTTTCTCCCTTTTGCGCGAGGCCTGTTGAATTTTAGTCTTGGCCTACCTGGTGCCAGTTGCCTTCACCTTGAGTCAAAATGGAATAAAAATTAAGATGTGCACAGAAGGATAAGACCGAAGCCTTGCTCTTAGTAATTTCAGTCTAGAATCTAGTTAAAAGGGAACACAGACATGGATGGAATGGTAAGAGAACCCGATAGGAGAATCTCAGTCTTAGTTGGCGGTGGGGTTGGGGGGACGTACCTGGACTCCTGGCTGTGGGCTGCGTGGGGCTGGTCTCTCTCTCTGTCACCCCAGCCCTTCGAGCTATATCCCTGACTTGCTGTGTTTCGCTTCCCAGGGCGGTGGGCAGCCCGTTGGTCATGGACCCCACCAGCATCTGCAGGAAGGCACGGAGGCTGGCAGGGCGGCAGGCTGAGTTGTGCCAGGAGGAGCCAGAAGTAGTGGCCGAGCTAGCGCGGGGAGCCCGGCTTGGGGTTCGAGAGTGCCAGTTCCAGTTCCGTTTCCGCCGCTGGAATTGCTCCAGCCACAGCAAGGCCTTTGGGCGCATCCTGCAGCAGGGTCAGTGTGAGGAGGGGACCTGGGGGCGCCAAGGAGAGGGTGGAGGTTTGGGGAGGCTGTCTGAGCCCCACCTCTCCCACGGATCTTTGGACACGCTGCCCTGACCCCGTCTCCCAGCCCCACCCAGCCCCACACCTCACTGCCCCACCCACCAAGTCCCCCAGGACTCAGCTTCGGTGCTGCAGGCTGACTGCCACTCGCTGTCCCCGCAGACATCCGGGAGACTGCCTTCGTCTTTGCCGTCACAGCTGCAGGAGCCAGCCACGCAGTCACGCAGGCCTGCTCCATGGGTGAGCTGCTGCAGTGTGGCTGCCAGGCGCCCCGCAGGCGGGCCCCGCCAAGACCCCCTGGCCTGCCAGGCACCCTCGGGCCCCCTGGCCTTGTGGGCTCCCCAGAGGGCAGCGCAGCCTGGGAGTGGGGAGGCTGCGGTGATGATGTGGACTTCGGGGATGAGAAGTCCAGGCTCTTTATGGACGCCCGGCACAAGCGGGGAGGTGGGGACATCCGAGCGCTGGTGCAGCTTCACAACAATGAGGCAGGCCGGCTGGTGAGTATGGGCGGGGATGGGTAAGCGTGTGTGTGTGCATGTGTGTGGAAATGTGTGTGTGTGTGTGTGTGTGTGTGTGTCAGTGGATGTGGGAGAGATGTGTGTGAGTGCAGGAGCGCATTTGTGGAAGTGCGCGAGGGAGGGAGGGTGTGCATGTGCAGGAGTATGTTCATCTGTGTGAGCCAGCGTGACAGTGGGGGGCCACCTGGGAAATGGTCTGGGGGGCTTGATGGACGTGTGGGAGGCCAGCTGGCCAGCCTAGAAGATGGTCACTTGGGGGGCCTGGGGCAGGGTAGGGAGAATTACCCAGGGAAGAGGACTTGGTTGGGGCTTTTAGGGAGCGCAGGTAGAAAGGGCATATCTCTGAGACAGGACAGGTAGGGAAAAGCTTGGGGAGGGTAGAGATGCGGCTGTCAGGGCAGGGACAGAGGGTGGAGACAAAGGCTGGGGATGAAAGGAAGGGCAGAAGCTGGCGCAAAGTTATGGGGCCTTGAGGTAGAGGAGCCAGGTGTGGGGGAGGCCTGGAAAGGGGCTAGGACAGGCCCATGGCGCAGTAGGCTTGAGAAGGACTGAGGGACAGGAGCAGGTCCTGGTGGAGGCAGGAGGGGGTCAGGCAGAGGCCAGGAAAGCTGGAACCAAATCTGCGCTCTTGCCGACTAGCTGCCCAGCAACCCCAGACCGGGCCCTGCCCTGAACCCTGGCAGCCTCTCCCTTCCTCTCTGCAACAAGAAGGCTCCAGGGGCTCCTGTTTAGGGACAAAAAAACCTGCCTGGGTTAGATGTTTCCAGCGGGAAGGAGGGAACCTGCACTCTGAGCTTTTAGGGATGATCTTCTTGCGTCATTTGACCCCATGAGTCTCAAGTGGGGCCATGACTCTTAGATGCAAAGAGCAAATAGAGGGCAGGACTCCTGGGTTCCCGTTCTCGGTTCTCGGTGGTACCTCCACAGTGGGCCCTATGGCTCAGTTCTGGGGTGCTCTAGGGCATCCCCACACACATCCTGTGTCCTCTAGGGTTTGGGCCTGAGGCATTGGGCGGGGGGTGGGGGGGTGGTAAGGGGGCCCAGGGAAGAATGTCCTGACAGGCCCACATACTTGTTGGAGAGGGTTGGGGAGGGGTGGTGGAGACAGACGCCCAGGGCGCGGGCTCTGCGTCTCTACTCAACCCTGCCTGGGGCGGTGAGCGTTGGCAGGAGGAAGAAGGTGCGACAGCTACTACTGCCCGCCCCCCCACCCGCCCCGGCCCCCGCCCCGGCCCCTCCCCGCCCCGGGAGAATCGCACCCCTGCTGCCCACTCGACTTTCCCCGGAATCTCTGTGCTGCATTCTGTCCCGCGCTGCCCACTTCTACTCCTCCATCCTTGTCGTTCTTCCCCTCCTCTTGGGGCTGTCGTTTCCTCGATCTCCTCCTTGCGCTCGCCGGTTTTTTGTTTTGTTTTGGTTGTGGGTTTTTTTTTTTTTATTTAGGTAGTGGGGAGAAGGCCTGATTTTTCATCTATTCAGTCCGCTCCCCATCTCTTACATTTTGTCTGTCCGTCCTCTGGGCCTTTTCGCGCCCCGAGCCCCACATCCGTCTCCATCTGCACCGCTCCTCTGCTCCTCGCAGGCCGTGCGGAGCCACACGCGCACCGAGTGCAAATGCCACGGACTGTCGGGCTCCTGCGCTCTGCGCACGTGCTGGCAGAAGCTGCCCCCGTTCCGCGAGGTGGGCGCGGAGCTGCTCGAGCGCTTCCACGGCGCCTCGCGTGTCATGGGCACCAACGATGGCAAGGCTCTGCTGCCCGCGGTCCGCAGTCTCAAGCCGCCTAGCGGAGCTGACCTACTCTACGTCGCCGACTCGCCCGACTTCTGCGCCCCCAACCGGCGCACAGGTTCTCCCGGTACGCGGGGCCGCGCCTGCAACAGTAGTGCCCTGGACCTCAGCGGCTGCGACCTGCTGTGCTGTGGTCGCGGGCACCGCCAGGAGAGCGTGCAGCTCGAGGAGAACTGCCTGTGCCGCTTCCACTGGTGCTGCGTAGTGCAGTGCCACCAATGCCTGGTGCGCAAGGAGCTCAGCCTCTGCCTCTGACCCCCGGCGCAGCTCTCCCAACTGCGTGCAGAGCCGCCTCTCGCTACCTTTGTGACACCTGGGCTCCAGCAGAGGGCGCTGCCTTGGCCCAGTTTACCCTTGCCAAAGTCCATCTCCCGGGCCCCTGGTAACTGAGGAGGTGAGTCTGGAGATACACGCGTGCCCAGGAAGGCCCAGGGCATTGGAGGGACCATCCCCCTCCCCTAGAGGCACTTTAGAGAGTTCTGGTGGCGATTACGAGCTCTAGGGAGTTCTCTCTCCTCCGCCCCCAGATGGAAACCAAAGAGCCCCTCTCTAGGCCTCTGGATGCGGGCCTCCTCAGAACTGCTGGCCATGGGTTCTGGGGGTATGTTTAGTATCAATAAAGATATTTAAACCAGGAGGACTGGGCCCACAGTTTGGGAGGGGGCTGGTCTCCTGCCGGTTTGCATGGCGCCAGGCTCTGGAAGGAGTGCTCCAAAGGGAGCAATTCAGAGCTCCTTACCCTGGGTCCCTATCCTCCCCGCCCCCCACCCCCCCATGAGACTGGGCTCTCCTGGCAACCACGGTGAAGACTGCCATGTCTCCCCTTGGCATTCTTCTTATTCACTCTCGTCACATGCCTAGGGCCTGGATCTGCACTCTGGGGAAGAAGTAGTCATCCCTCTTTAAGGGAGCAGACTCCGCAGAGGGTCTGGGGAGAGCAGGCCGGACGCCTCTGCTGGTACACTCAGGGCCCTTCAGCTCCCATCAGGGTTCTAGGGGGGTGCGACACCGTCCTCTGCCCCTCTGTTTGTGATCCCCGGGGGACTCATGGGCAGACTTCTAGGGCCACCCAAGTCCATAGGATTAAAGCACTTTAAGAACTGTAGGATGTGATGAAATACGTTATTAGTAACATCAGACTGAACATTGACACTCACTTCACCCCCACCAACACTGAAAAGACTGCTCCGAACAGCATTTCTAGTTACACTTAGGGGGAGACGAAGAAAAGTCCCAAAGTTTCTCCTGGCGCCCAACGACATTTCCTTCCATTCCCAAGTTCTTTCTTGGGACGTTGATGGTGACCGTGGAGGGAAGAGAGGAGGGGTTTGAGGATCTTGGCTCTCCAGAGCTGAACTTCACGTCCTCATCTTCCTCCCAGAGAGAAGGGGGGAGGGCAGGGCCGAATGGCTGGGGTTCAAAGCGCCCAGTTTTCCCATAGTCCAAACACTGTAAATGCTCCCATCAAGGTATGACGGCCAGAGCAAGAGCTTTATGTGTGAAGCTGGTGTTGCTGCTCAGAAGTTTACGGCAGAGATCACGCGAATCTCAGTTTCTTTGCCTATATAATGGGAGCATCACCCTGTTTCAGTTTTCCACGCTGCACAGCAAACAACCCCCACGTAACCACTTCTCACAATCCTTTCGGTCAGGAATTTGTCAACACTCAGCTTGGTGGTTCTGCCCCCTTGCGGCAGAGCTATTGGCTGTGGTCGTGCGGTTAACTGGACGCCACTGGCGGCGGGGCGGGGCGGGGCGGGGCTGAACAGTCCTGGGGGCATCACTCACACGCGTCTAGTGCCTCCGAGCTTCTCCAGGGGCCTCCTGCTTTGCATGTGGCTTCCTCACAGCATGGTGGCCTCAGTGTGGTTGGACTTCTTACCCAAGGCTGGTTTTCAACATACACCGTGCCAGCCTGGGGGGCAGAAGCTGCCGGTCTCTTCTTCTTCGGTTCCAGTCTTAGAGGTTACACAGCTTTGCCATCGCTCTCTACGGGTCGACACCAGTCACAGAACCAGCCACAATTCAAGGGAAGGGGAACTAGACTCCTCCTCTCAATGGGAGAGAGGCAAAGGATGTGCAGCCGTTGCAATCCATCCCACGTCCTCACAGACCTGTGGAAAGGATGTTTTTGAACTGTGAAAAGCACTCAGCACAGCATTTGACACAATAAGTTATGTCCAATTTATGCTTGAGAAGTGGTAGTTACTGTGAGGATAGGGATAGAAAGCTGGGTATTTTAAAAATAATCCCCTGTACTTCTCTCAGAGACCACCAGAGGGTGCACAGAGCTCGGTTTCCCGGTGAAAGGGATCAACTGACAGGACTTTTGGGGACCTCGCCGCGGTAGGTGGGAGACGGTAGGATGAACAGAAACAGAGAACCACAGACAGCCTGGGTCGAGCTGCCAGGGTTCCGGACCGTCTGGGATGGCTCCTTCCCCGTATTTACTTCTAGGTCCTGAGGGCAGGGAGTGGATGGAGTGGGTGATGTCAGAGAGGGAAACCGGGGCAGCAGCATGAGCTAATACCAACCCGAGCAGGTTAAAAGGAATTCAGAGGAAGTAGCATGATACAGTGGCAAAAAGGCCGGGTTTGCTAGCTTGACCTTAACCAAGTTAGTTAATCTCTCTGAGCCTTCGTTTTCCCATCACAAAACAGGGGTGCCTGGTAGCTTGTCAGTGCACATGAGAGTGCACTGCCATCTCTAACCTCCGGTCACATGTTAGTGGCCCATCTTCTGTGACTCAGCCCAGCAGGAGTCTGGGAACTGCCGTCTGCGAAGAGTGAGAGCAAGGGCCTGAGAGGCCCCATTTTGCCCATTAGCCTGGTCCTTTAAGTTCAGAGATGGCTCTGTGCTCTGGCACTGCTGCCTGGGAAGGGGGCTCGAAACAGAGCTCAGAAATGCCCCATCGCAGCCCCCTCTCCCCCTTGTTGACCCAGCTGCTCAGCCCCAGGCACAATCTGAGCCACCAAGGCTGAGTGACAGAGGACACATGGAACCCAGGAGAGGGGACAAGGGCACGGGGATGCTCCTGGTGTGTGTGTGACCATATCAGGGACGCCCAGATATGCAGGCAGATGGGTGGGAGGCACCTGGAAGGCTCAGGAGGGCTCCAAAAACATTTCCCCTTCCCTTCAATGGCCGAGCAAATTAGGTGCTTGGGAGACTGAAGCAGCAAGCTCTGCTCCCTCACCTTGGGGAGGGGCAGGGGCCCCAGAGACCCAGACAATAGGACATATCAGTATGGAGCTCCTTCCCTCTCTTCCTCACCAAGACAAACCTCTCGGGCAGAGCATCAGGGCTGAAGGTCCCACCTGTCCTCACTCTGGTGCCTCCCCAGCTTGCCCTTCCCTGAAACCTCCTCCAGAGCCACCACAGCTGGAACCATTCTCCAAGCTGCCTTGCAGCCCTGGTGCTCCCCCACCCCCAGTGGCCCCTGTAATTGTGGTCTCAGGCTGTGGCTGCGGGGGCTGGGGCTGGGCTGAGGGCCAGAGCCTAGGGCAGGGCCAGGGTGGGGCCGAGGGGCTGCCCATGGCATGGGTCACATGGGGCTAGGCCAGACACTCTTTCTGGGTTCCCTCGGCACACAGGCCAAGGCCCTGTGCCTACATATGCCCTCTTCTCCCGGAAGTGTGGAGGTTGCCCCAGGCTTGGGTGCTTCTAAACCCTCATGACATCAGCCCAGAACCACACCCCGGTGCAAGCAAGGCTTGGGCATCATTCCCTGCCGGCTGGGGTTTCAAAGAAAGGGTCTTCTCCCTCTCCTGTACACGTGTATGGTTCATGAACAGGAGCCGGTGGGAGTGCAAAGACATCCTCCCTCATTAGAGGGAAGCCAAAGGAAAAAAAATAATCAGTCCCTCAAGCAGATCAGAAGTGTTTCCCAAATGTGGTCCTCACAAAAATCACTGGGGATACCAGTTAGAAATTCAGACCCCCAGGCCTTGTCCCTGGAAAGGATGAGTCAGCTGCTTGGGAATGGAATCGTTATTTCCCAGTGGCCCACCCCAACGGAGACCTACGATGCGTGGATCACGGGAAACACTAGTGTGGGCACTAGGCGGGGAGTAGGGAGGGTTAGGAACCCATTCAGTGTGTCTCGTTCCTCACTGAGTGTGTTCTTAAGCCTCTCTGGGCCTCAGTTTCCCCAGCAGCCAGTGGGAGCGTGACTCCTCAGCCTGGTTTGACCCCGCTGGCGCCCTCTCCCACCCTGGGCTCATGCTCCCCTCCTGGGTGGAGCCTGGTCCTGCCCCGTCTCTCCCTCTACCCTTCCCAAACGCCCTGTGCCTGCAGCGTGGTGGGAGAGAGTGCAGAGGGGAGGGGTGGATGGGGTCAAACAAGGCTCTGGCTGACGCAGACTGCTCCCTGCCCCCGGCTGTTTTCCTGCTGTCCAGCCAGACTGCTCCCCCTACACCCCCCCCACACCCCCAGCAGCCTCAAGCCCTTAATTCCTGACAGCTGCAGAGCCTGCCAGCAGAAATGGGGGAGTGCAATGAGGAGCATGCTGTCGGCCTGCTGTTGCTCAGGCTGCCTCTGCCACCTGACAGTCTGGGGACAGAGGAGGAGGCCCCACCCCTCCCCTCCAAGTCCCCAGGAATGGCCAGTTCCAGGAAACTGGCCCCTTTTTGTCTCTGAGCCCAGAGCTCCCTGTAGCTTATCCTTAAGCAGTAGGGGCTCTCTTCAGAGAGACAGAGAGTAGTGCGGCTGGGAGGAGGTGTGTGCACAGAGTGGGAGGCTTGTACCCATTTCATAGAGGGGGATGCTAAGGCCACAGTGAGAGTTAGGGTTCACTGTCAGGGCCCAGCTTAGAACCAGAAGCAGAAGCCAAAGCCTCTGTCCCCAACCCTGTGGCTCTCAGGCCCTTGCCTGGGTCCAGTACACTCAGCCCAGTGTGCAGGTCTGGAGGGAAGACAGGAAGGGACACCACAGAGGAGTGGCCTGGGCCAGGGGGCTGGTGTTGGGGAGCTCCCAGAGGACCAAGTACAGGTGGCAGAGCCAGGGCAAGATCTGGAGTCTCCGAAAGCAGGGCCTTGGCAAGCAGCACCCAGTGCCTGTGCAGTTGCCGCTGTGCACAGCACCCATCGAACTGGGTTCGGTTCCAGCTCTTCCTCCTACTCGCTGTGTGATCTTGAGTAAGTCATGGCCCTCTCTGAGCCTCAGTACTTTCTTGTGATATAAAAGAGGATGGAATATGCTGACCTCAAAGCACACTTTCAGGATTAAAAGGAACTGTAAGTCCCTCCTCCCAGGATGTGGCACCCTGGGTGCTCTGCTCCTAGACAAGCTGTTGCTGCTGGGGTCCTAGTAATTTTACCTTCGTTGGCTAGATGAGGTGACTAGATGGGGTGGGCCTCCTCAATCCCATTTCATGCAGGGAAAGAGCGTGGCTCAGGGAGCAGCGGGCACCTGCTTAAGGTCACACAGCAAAGAAGAGCAAGATCCAGAAGCTGCCAAACTCCTTTGCAGGATCCCACACCTGCCTCGCCAGCCAAGCCCGGGAAGTCCCCCCAGAGGTGGGGGAGGCGAGCCGAGGGGCCAACCTCTCCCCTCCAGCCCTTGCAGGTGTGTATATCGGCGGAGGGGGCAGGGAGGGGGACCGCTCCCCAGCAGCTGCGTCTCAGCC